CCTACTTCTTTGCCATTGAATACATTACAGCAACATCACCCCCAAGCCCCAGTCACCGTAACTTCCCTCCATCGCAGCCGCAACCCCAGACCTTGTTACATCAGCCTCCTCTTGCAGCCTCTCACCAACTCTCTTCCATCACCTTTCCCTCCATCCATCCGCTCAACCCATCCCACCAACCACCAAGCTGTTGCCTGCTGTCTTACATCCTCCCTCCGCATGCTCTGCTTCCCCCTTAACTGCTGCGCCATCTCACTGACCTACACCCTAGTTTGGGGTCGTATTGTCTTTCCTGTTTTCAAGTTTTATAATTGTAACCCTTTCAATTACAACAATAAAGTATTATTTTATCGTGGGTTTTGGGTTAACTCCGATTTCACTCGATTTCATTTTTTAGAAGATTAAAAAGGAAAAAATGATAGACCTAAGATTACATCACATGGTTATGAGTTGCTCAAAATGATTAATGAAAAATAGATTTAACACCTCACGTAACATTAAACAAACATGAATGAAAAATAAAGAATCATAGTGTCAATCCCAAATAGTTGGAACAAGACTAATGAAGATGATAATAATGTAGCTTTGTGATTTATACAATGTTAATGCAGGCCAAAGTGATGTTTGAGAGAATTAAGGTGTCATGATTTAATTTCATCGTCTTGTTTGTTCTCTATATTCATTCTTGAGTATTTGACTTTCAGATTGGGTTTTCCTGTTTTAACAATTCCTGGCAAGATTGATGATTCTCAACATCTAACTGCTATTTGATGGCAACGACATAACGAAGCACTTTTGAATGCTGCATTCAAGCTAAATTTGTGGTCTTCGTTTGTGTGAGATTCGAGTTACATGTCAATGTTACAGACTTTTCTGATGTTTTTGTCGAAATAGGAATATTTGTTGCATGAAGCACGACGTGGAGATAAAATTAGAGGACATGATATGGTTTTGGTTAAACATATTTTTTCATGAATTTTCATGACTTGTACAACTTGTGTAATGGCATCAGAATTTCACTGACTTTTATTTGAACAGCATTAACCTTATAATTCCGACCCTTGGGAGATTTTGTTTTTATTTCATGCATCTCTCACACAGTATCAATGAGTTTTAATTCAGAGAAAAAAAATAGAGAGAACGAGTCATATCCTTTGACAATGAAGAGGGACTCTTGCAGCTTGTTTTTTTATGCCCAACAAAAAATCACGGAAAACATTTTTTAATTATTCTGTGATATTTGTCAACTCCTGACCTTAACTTTTCCTCTAAAAACAGGTTGCAGCCCTGGTTCCTAAAAGTGAACTTGATGGTGAGATGGGAGATGCACACATGGCCCTTCAAGCAAGGCTGATGAGCCAGGCTCTTCGCAAGTTGAGTCATTCTCTTTCTCTCTCTCAGACCATATTGATATTTATCAATCAGGTGAGCTGAAGCTCTATTTACCATTCATTGTTTCTAGAGACAATACAATTAATTGAACTGTTTCTGTTCTTGCCTTTATCCAATGCTTTTCTATGTTCTTTTGTTTGATGGAGTGTTATTGGTTAAAACTAGTTTTAAATTTCAGGTGAGGTGTAAACTCAGCACATTTGGAGGATTTGGCGGACCTACTGAAGTTACATCCGGGGGCAATGCCTTGAAATTCTATGCATCTGTTCGCTTGAATATCAAACGAATAGGTTTTGTTAAGAAGGGTGAGGAGGTAAATATTCTTTCGTAAGTTTCACTGTCAATGAGAAAACTACAAATTTTTTAAATTTTCTTTAATGAACTAAAATAGTTTGAATATGTGCATCCCAATGCTTCACAGTTCCTCTTCAGGACAAGAAATTATTAAGTTTCGAATTCGTCATAAACAACCAGTAAAAGAAATGCGTTGAATGAAGTTTGTTATAAAATTTTGAATTCATTTTGCACTTAACTAAATGTTACTGTAGACAATGATGGAACTCAGTGCAGTTAACTAAATATGGTCTCCAACGAGGGTTGGTTTTGGATTAATGATTAAGTTTTCTTTTTTGTCATGTAGAAATAAATTTGTGCATCAACCTTTCCTCAAACCCCATGGGTTAGA